GGTCTTTCACCTTTACCCATTGGTAACTTTCTCACATACTCCTTACAGCTGGCTGTTGTGAGAGGCATTTACCCACGTCTCAACAGGCTCATATCCTTCTTCACGTTTCTGCTTGATGGTTCGAAGATAATAATTTCGGAGACGAAGGATGTCAGATCGTTCACGCAACACAGCCCTATTTTCATCATTTATCTTTTTGCATATGTATCCAAATGTATTCAAAACTTGCCATATCTTGTATTGTGTAACAGTTAAATCATGTTCAGTAACAAGGTATATTTCTTCAAGAGTCTTTGTGACATATACTTATTTTCTGAATGCAGTTTAACAATTTCAGGTCTGACTTGATTGTTCTGAAAACTGTCGAGTGTATCAACCCTACATGGGTTTGATATGTTCCCCACCTGCTTCGCCAGAGTCCGGTCGACGGAAAACATGCTTCACCTTGGAGACATACCAAGAGCACAAGAAGCTCGTTTCAAGTATTTATTTATAGCATTAAATGGTTTTCCTCTTTCTATATAAAATTGAATGAAATCATACACCTTAAAAAATCAACTGTTACGCTTCAGCTGAGTTGCGCATGTTGTCAGTCAACAACGACGTATACTGTGTAGCACGTGTTTGCGTTGTTCCTCCTACCGTTGCAACGTGACTTTTTCCAGGTGCGCTCCAAGGCTGTGTGCTTTCTCCTGTTTTATTTGTTTTATACACAAATGACTGTATCAGTAAGTTTAACTATTTCAAAATTTGTCCAATAGTGTAAGATTGATTTTCTTAATCTTAATGTCAAAAAGACAAAGGGAATGCTTATAGAGATTCATTCCGAATATCAGTTTCTACCTTCTGGCCGCCGACTGCGCATGCCGATGCTGAAAACAGAAAGGGCCCGGAAAATCGGCGGAAATCATTCATACCTTCCGGTATTAGTCTTTTTTTTCTATTCTCCTTATTTTAGTGCTAAACAGCTGTGCAATATCGCTTTCCCTTGGGATAATAACGTCTTATCTTATCTCACGGAGCAGTGTATGACAGAACCAGTCCTGTATACACAAGGGGGTGGAGTAGTGTATGACAGAACCTGTCCTGTATAGATTGGGGACGGAACAGTGTTTGACAGAACCTGTCCTGTATAGAGGGGACGGAACAATGTTTGACAGAACCTGTCCTGTATAGATTGGGGACGGAACAGTGTTTGACAGAACCTGTCCTGGATAGATTGGGGACGGAACAGTGTTTGACAGAACCTGTCCTGTATAGAGGGGACGGAACAATTTTTGACAGAACCTGTCCTGTATAGATTGGGGACGGAACAGTGTATGACAGAACCTGTCCTGTACACCAAGGGACGGATCAGTGTATGATAGAACCTGTCCTGTATAGAGGTGACGGAACAGTGTATGACAGACCCTGTCCTGTATAGAGGGGACGGAACAGTGTATGACAGAACCTGTCCTGTATAGAGGGGGCGGAACAGTGTATGACAGACCCTGTCCAGTACACCAGGGGGCGGAACGGTGTTTGACCGACCCTGTCCTGTATAGAGGGGACGGAACAGTGTATGACAGAACCTGTCCTGCATTAGAGGGGCGGAACAGTGTATGACAGAACCTGTCCTGTATTAGGGGACGGAACAGTGTATGACCGACCCTGTCCTGTATAGAGGGGACAGAACAGTGTATGACAGAACCTGTCCTGTACACCAGGGGTCGGGACAGTGTATGACAGAACCTGTCCTGTATAGAGGGGGCGGAACAGTGTATGACAGACCCTGTCCAGTACACCAGGGGGCGGAACGGTGTATGACAGAACCTGTTCTGCATTAGGGGGCGGAACAGTGTATGACAGAGCCTGTCCTGTACACCAGGGGTCGGGACAGTGTATGACAGAACCTGTCCTGTATAGAGGGGACGGAACAGTGTATGACAGAACCTGTCCTGCATTAGAGGGGCGGAACAGTGTATGACAGAACCTGTCCTGTATTAGGGGACGGAACAGTGTATGACCGACCCTGTCCTGTATAGAGGGGACAGAACAGTGTATGACAGAACCTGTCCTGTACACCAGGGGTCGGGACAGTGTATGACAGAACCTGTCCTGTATAGAGGTGACGGAACAGTGTATGACAGACCCTGTCCTGTATAGAGGTGACGGAACAATATATGACAGAACCTGTCCTGTACACCAAGGGACGGATCAGTGTATGATAGAACCTGTCCTGTATAGAGGGGACGGAACAGTGTATGACAGCCCCTGTCCTTTATAGAGGGGACGGAACAGTGTATGACAGAACCTGTCCTGTATAGAGGGTTGACGGAACTGTGTATGACAGAACCTGTCCTGTATAGAGGGGACGGAACAGTGTATGACAGAACCTGTCCTATATAGAGGGTTGACGGAACAGTGTAAAACAGATCCTGTCCTGTATTAGGGGGTGGCGGAACAGTGTATGACAGGCCCTGTCCTGTACAGAGGGGACGGAACAGTGTATGACAGAACCTGTCCTGTACACCAGAGGGCGGGACAACGTATGACAGATCCTGTCCTGTATTAGGGGGTGGCGGAACAGTGTATGACAGACCCTGTCCTGTACACTAGGGTGTGGGACCCGTGAAGTCCCGGGTAGAGAATACGTCTTCAGCAACCCATGCTTGCCGTAAAAGGCGATTATGTTTGCCGTAGAGGCGACTATTAAACGGGATTGGGTGGTCAGGCTCAGTGACTTGATTGGTCCATGTCATCGTATCCCAATTGCGTGATATCAATCACTGGATTGTCTGGGCCAGACTCGATTATTTACAGACCGCCGTCATATAGCTGGAATATTCCCGAGTGTGCCAGTGTGGCGTTAAAGAACAAACAAAGAAACGATTTTTTATTGAATGACCGTGGTCTGTAAGACACTATCCATCGGGATAATGACTCGTTCGAGGAATCGGCAAGGAGAGAACAAGTGAGATGCAAGACAATATTCAAAGTTAGATATTTCTCGGGGCCCCTTACGTGATATAAAAAACCTATTGTAGCTATGTCTCATGTAGAAAGCTTGCCCTCCTCTTTACTCAATAGGACCCGTGAAGATCCGGGGTAGAATAGGTCTTCAGCAACCCATGCTTGCCGTAAAAGGTGACTATGCTTGTCGTTAAAAGGCGACTAACGGGATCGGGTGGTCAGGCTCGCTGACTTTGTTGATGCATGTCATCGATCCCAATTGCGTTGATCGATGCTCATGATATTAATCACTGGATTGTCTGATCAAGACTCGATTATTTACAGAGTGCGGCGTTAAACAACAAACCAACCAACCAACTTTACTCGATAGACACATTGATAGTGGAGCATTACTTAAATAAGCATCAGTTGTAAGACGGTGACCTGCAACCTTACAGAGGAGAGTCGCCATGTTGCAAAAAGAAATACCGTATTTCCTCTATTAGACGCCGGGTCTCTAATTGACGTAACTACAATAAATCTTAGAGACTTACGTCGATTCTAAAATTGTCTTAGCTAAAGTTTGCAACCGTTCCACAAAGCGATCTTAGGGCGATTGTAACTTTACATGTTCTTAAGTAGCCGATCTTAACAAAGATCGGAATCTTCAGCCATAAAGATACGAAATTTTCCCTTGGAGTGGCAACCCTTGGTCATGTTTAGCAGACGACGCATTTCTTTGCACACCATAATAAAAGTCGCCATCTTTGTTGTTATGGTACAATATTTAAGATCAATTTTAGCAATCCTAAGTTGGTCCGAAGCAATTTAGCATTTTGATCTTAACTTACAACTCTCTTAGTTAAGATTGCTTTGTGGAACGGGCGGCTGATCGTAACAAAAATTTAAGATCGCATACTTAGTGAGTTACAATCAACTTAGCCCTAAGATCGCTTTGTGGAACTCTAATTGACGCCGGGTCAAAGGCTTGTCCGAAATAAATAGAAGTCCGGGCGTCTGATAGAGGAAATACGGTACATGTACATGGAACCCTCGTCGAGCTGTCCAGCCTTTTCAGAGATGACAAACTATTTCTGGAAACTGAGCGAGGAGTAGTAAAGATTTCTGGAAAACGAAGAAGATATCTTAGATACAAGTAGATAAAAAGAGAATTTTTTACGAGCATGTGTGTCATACTGATTTCATGAAACGAGAGTCAGGACTCTTGTATTTCCCGCGCGAGTTAGTTTACATCGTACCCCGACGGCGTGTATCGGTGAACACAATATCAATCACTGCACATGGTTTGACTGGTCCAGTATCGATTACATTACCCCACAACGTGTATATTCCTAGTTTTTAAAGTATTCTATAAATGTAAAATAAAACATAACTCAATCACTGAATATGGTTTCAAGTTTCAACAAAAGTAATACGAATATTAAACGCAAATTGTTTCGCGAACTATATAGACTCGTCAACATGTTGTACATATGTATGTATAGATGTACATGTGTATTTATGTTAAACGCAACCCTCCTTTTTTAAAAAGCCGTATCCGTGCTCGAAGTGATGTTATTTTCCTGACTAAGGCGAGGGTCGAGTATCCGCAAATGTATTCCTTCTAATTTATCCGTTTATTTGTGTATGTGTGTGCCTTTATTGATTCAAACGCAGATAAAAAAACATGAACAAAAATAGTGTATAAACATTCCAATGATTTATAAAAGGTTTTTAAGTGCGATTGAGGACCTATTACAATTGCTATATTTTGTATTCTTTAATCACTCAAGGAAGCTCTGTGCCATTATTTACTGCACGTGCGCTTCTATTTTTAGCTCATGTTAGTTGCAGCCGACCGAAAAAATCGATTGTATTCCGCCTGGGTCGAAAGATCTTTTGCTGCGGGCATGCCATATAATTTGTAAGCGACATATCCCAGTTGATGCTTGCGAGAGCAGTGGGTTGCCGAGAGAGAAAGCAGCCAGCATCACCAAACATCGCTTTCAGCCATTGTGACACGCCCACTGTGTTTTGACAGATACGGAAGTTGCATGTGGTCGAGAGAGGCATGCGCAGTGGCAGTATCTAAGAAGACTGCAGACGAACTGACTTGATCACGAGAGAACAATTTCGTTAGTAGAATGAAAATGTGTCCGAAAACTAATCACTCGGGAGCTGTTACAACAGACAGGGATAGGCCGTAATACCTAAAACTCCCATTTACTCTCACAGCGACCGTCGATACTAACGCACCAGGGATGCAGGCGAGCGTGCCCGATCTATCCCTGATCACGCTGAATGAGTCAGTTTGAAGCAAGGCAGGTCTAAGGAACGGGCCGGTGACACCATTATTCAAAGACTCGGAGAAACAATAGAAACAGGACGCAAGCCCAAGAAAAAAATTGATCACTTCCTATGGCCCAAGTTACTGTGAAACATCGGAACGAGCAATGCTAGCTGTGAGCGAGCCGAGTTATGATGTGAGAGATACTTTCTCACTGGCTGGGCGGAATAATCGCTAAGATGACAATTTCCTCTTCAGTTAAGTGGAGGCACTGACCAGACTCCCATTTGCCACAGAGGGCGGACCAAGTGTACTGGACTCGCTCCGTGGCTAATGAAGGACTTCTCTGACAAGTTGCAGATTGGACAAGCAAGGATATGTGAACGCGATGACATTTTAAGCTTGGTGACACCTTGGTGATTTTGACAGTTTTACCATCATCGTTGACTCGCAAATCCTCTCAATGATACGTGTGATCCAGTATTGAACTGCGGACATGACTGAGCATCCATCATATTCCTTGTTTCATTTCCTTATTAAACAGTGGATGAAAGACGAGAGCAAGTAAGGAAACCTTTAGGCTTGTTTACCATGGTTACGAACTGTGAAATTGAATAACAAAACCACCGACACTGCATTGTAAGAATTAGTGTCATTTGGTACCAGTTACAAGGAGAATGTATGTAAAAGTATTCAAGTAATTTGCTCAACATTTATTGATTGGTTAAAGGATATACACAATACTGATAAGAGTAGCGGAGAGTGTTATTCGACTCCCAACAGAGAAAAAGTGTGGTGCCATGACCATATCATGGACAATGCACCAATTTAATAAGTCATGGATGTAACAGCGTTGCAATCAAGACTGAAGTTGAACTGCGCTATGATGACAGGCTATTGATTCACCAACACAGTTATGCTGGTTTTAAAATGAGGCGACAAAAAAACATCGACATGAGAAGTGCCTAGCTCTCATGGCTTGTATGATTAAAACTTGAGTTGTTTGGTCAGCTTGTGGGTAAAGAAGAGATGAAAGATGTGGATGCTTTTAGTCGAAGATTGAGTATAATCAAAATATTGTTACTGTGATACCTATTGGCTCCATCTACTTCAAACATTTGAACTCCAAATGGGTGTTCTTTTGAAGACTGTTTGTTTTCAGGCTATTGAAGAAGTTATCAACAGCTGAGGACCAGCGTATGGAGACCTTTCTATCTCGTTATTAGCATTTTTTCATCAACAACATATTCTTCATTACATCATTTACAACTGGAGCCTAACATTTTCATCAGACTTTTCTGAGTAATAAGTTCATCATCAAAGATGCATGTCCATTTTGAGCAGACGACATCTACTCGTACAGATTCCACCATCCATTCCTTGTCATGGATGGGGAAGGTTCCCGATGGGCTACCTGATGAAGGTGGAGGATGGAAACTCAACCGGTCCCAGTATTATATGGAAGGGTGGTTGGCTAGTGGTAACGCTAAGGGCGTTGTTGGAGTCACATTTACTACCAGCCATTGTCGCAAGTATGAAGCCCCACCTCGTTCAAACTTCAATCTCCGAGGACATCGCAGTGAGGTAAGTCACATTCCTATTCTAAGAATTATAAACCTATCTTAAACCAGTATGTGTATTGCTGTGGACTAACTAATGAGTCTTATCACTCTTCCAGTAAAATCTGAGTGAGTGAGTGAGTATGGTTTTATGTCGCTTTTAGCAATATTCCAGCAATATCACAGCGGGGGACACCAGAAATGGGCCTTACACATTGTACCCATGTTGGGAATCGAACCCGGGTCTTCGGCGTGACGAGCAAATGCTTTAATCACTTGGCTCCCCGAACGCCCCTCTAGTAAAATGTATTGTAATGCTGATTTAGACATTGCATGGCACTAAAAATATGAATTACTTAATATACTTTACTGAAGCTTGGCAGGAATCTGAAGAATTCTTGAATGTCTGGACAAAGTATTTTTATTATATGCTATACTCATTGTTCAGATATGCTATACTCATTGTTCAGTAAAATGGGTATGTTTGTATGATGTGGAACTTGCCTTTGAAGTTCCCTAAAATGATTGATCAGCTGGATTAAAATAGAGAGTCATCATGATCGATTGAGACCTCTTCATCAGAAGCAGTGAATGTTGGCGAGGGTGTGAAAAAGAGTGTTGAGTTATGTTTGTTCACTTGTACATATTTCATACACCAACTCATTCATTCCACCTTGAAAATCACATTTACAATTGCCTGTGAATTTTCAACTCAAAATGACATATATTGTAGAGTCACATTTATAGTCCAATTGAATCTGTCTGATTCATCTATCTAATGTTTGACGGTAGTTCCAGTGAGTCATCCCATCTATGTCGTCACAAGAGAACACACAACAGTTTGCACCTTTGCATTCTTGCATAGTTATGAAACATTGACTGATCTCAGTGTAAAGCTGTTTTTCTCATCTATGAACATGATGAATGTTACTTATTTCATTATAAGATTTCAATATTTTTTTCTGGTCAAACTACAACTTTATTATTAGTACAATGTAGTCGTTTCCATTTGTATGTAACAATATCCATGATATCAATTTTACGGAGTATTACGTTACACTCTTCTTAGGTGTGGGCTCAGTTTCATTAATGATTGTGATGTCATGATCGCACAAAATGCCATTCTACAAGAAATCTTAACAAGATAAGATTTCGTGTCAAATACTGCATATTATTCCAGGTAAATTATATTAGTATAACCGTGAGAACTCAGAAGCAATTAGTTTAGGTGTGTGTGTGTGCAGGGTCTGGACTTAACACTTACAATTGCATAATGAAGGAAGTTATAATGTGTTGCACTTTTTCTTTGTGAACTTGAGAAATATTTAAGAATGTTAACATGGAGTCATTAGAGACTGAATTTATTTGTAGGTTTGAGAATGATGTATAATGTTCGCTTCAGTGATAATCGTCCTCTTCAATAAGAAATACAGCAGCAGATTAAATTGAATGTGCAAGAAGTGAAGCGTGGAGAATTATGGAAACAATTGTGTAGACCATTAAGGACAGCTGCAGACAGGCGTTGCTGATCGGCAAATAGACAACATGCTTTATCCAGTGTCGGCATACTGAAAAGCAAGAAGAGAATTGTCTCACAAAACTCTCACTATTTTCAGGAAAAGAAGTCAATACTGGCGGCTCTAAAGTAATTAAAATTAAATTCAGCAAGTTAAAAAGAAATTGTTAGATTAAGTATGTGAATGTTCCATTTGTTCTACTTGTTCTTCTTGTATAGACTTTACCAGACATGGTTAGAGTTCACTAAGTTGTCGTGATTTGAAATCCTTAAGTTATTTCATGTATTCTGTAAATAAGCAGTCTGTGACTTTGACACTCGCCCTATGGTCTAGTGTAATTCTTTTGGTCTAGTACGCTTAGCTAATAATAGTCCATATGTTCAAACTACAATCTACAGTAAACGATGCCAGGAGACAATTTGGTCTAGTAGACTTTCTGACACAGGCTAAGTAAGTGATGTCTTTATCACAATACACTATAAATAAGAGATAAGCCAATCCTTTAAGAAACAACATGATCAATAAACAATCACCGCCTTCATAAATACCATCCTCCATTTTGATATTTGTGACTTGTTAATCAAGGTTTTACCTGAACTAATTTCATATAGGATTCTCCATTTTTGTTTTCAGAGGACATAGATATGGAGCTGAGATTGCCTTTTGTCAAACATGTTTTTAGTCATGTTTGACACTGGAAACCATAACAGATTTTCAACTTTGTTAAATGTTATACATTCTGGAACTATCATGGTCTGCCTTCCCTCAGTGGATCGTAGTCTTTGTGCTACAGGGAGGCATGGTGAACCACATTCTGAATCTTTGGTTTCCACAAAATAAACAGATGTAAATGATGAAAGCAAAAAAAGGAAAACAGAGAGAGAATTAGGGAACAATCAACTAGATACTGGGAATTACAGATTATCTGTCCGAGTGAATAAATTGTGTAAGTCCTGAGTCTTTGGTGGGGAAATTACAGCATTCATTCAAGGAGGACAGATAGTCTGTAATTCTGAGTTTCATGTAGGCTATTCTTTCTACTCACTCACGTTTTTAGAGAGAAAATGAAGAATAAAATGTATGAAATGTCAGCCCTTCAGAGAAATTTCACTAAAGGCAGCCACTTGTTCAAATGACATAATGTATTTTATTAATTTGTGACGTCATGAACAATGAATAACAGCAAATCTGTTTCTCAACATGCTGAACATGATAAAGCTCTGTGACGTCATCTGGCTTCGATGACCTATCAACACTGAGAATTGCTAAATTGCACATGTGTATACAGCGGAAAGTTATCAGACATGTTCATTCTACCCTTATTGGTAATATCTACAGAGTGGGCCATTTCTCATACAAAATTGGTAATAATATGAATATTGGTCTTCATTCCACACTTGTTATCCACGTGCAGCAGCTGTATATATCTGTACAAACATCTCATAGATTTATTGTTCTGCTGATTTTATTTCCTTCAATTCCTTGCTTGATGGATGCATTGCTATTTCTTTCCAAATTGCACATAAAAATATCACATGAGAAAGACCCTTAAAAAAAATGTCAGTGATTACAAAGATCGTAAATAATGTACCCAAAGAAGGCTGGATAGGATTGTATTTAAAGATAGCTTTTTCTGTTGATTTGATAAATTAAACATGCAAAATAAAGTAGTTGAAGAAAATGAAGAAAATGTGAATATTAATAATATGGGAGGAGGCTTGAGTATTCAAAGGCTGTGTGCTGTGCTGTGAACATTGCTGCGATGTAAAACAACATTCACTCACTCCCTCACTCACTAAGTCTTGCTCTTATTTTCTCACATGATTACTTCTTATTGGATGTGTTTGATGGTCATGCTAACCCTCTGATCAATGCCGATGCCACTAGTGGCTTGAGGCTGGGAAAACCCCCGGCTATCATTGACAAGTATCACACATAGCCCACCAAAGTGAGTCATCAGTACCATGACATACAGTATGACTATTACATTGTATGTGATTGGATACATGTATCTTGATCTTGTATCAGATTAAAATTACGCAACTATATTCTAATCTTGATAATAGAAAGTTTTTATTATATTCTTGTTGTTTTATGTTAACATATTACATGTTTATTTAAGGTTTATTTGGGGGCGGTCGTGTAGCCTAGTGGTTAAAGCGTTCGCTCGTCACGCCGAAGACCCGGGTTCGATTCCCGACATGGGTACAAAGTGTGAAGCCCATTTCTGGTGTCCCCTGCCGTGATATTGCTGGAATATTGCTAAAAGCGGCGTAAAACCATACTCACTCTCTCACTAAGGTTTATTTGACCGCCTCCGTGGTCTAGTGGTAGAGCGGAGAGAGGGTATGTTTGGTGTTTAATCCCTGGCCGCGTCATCCCAAAAGACGTTAAAAGATGGTACTTGTTGTCACCCTCCCTGGCGCTCGGCATTAAGGGGCTAAAACAAGGACTGGTCAGCTCGGAGTCAGTATACTGTGTCTGAGTGGGGTATTCATGTTAAACAGCGGCATGGTATCTCAGTGAGCTACGCGATGTTAAACCCCATTTCATTTCAACTCACCTCACCTATTTAATGTTCATTCCCATGTTACTGAAAGACATTACCCATACATTATGAAACTTATCAGTGCTGTTTCGTAGACCCTTATGTACAGATAATAATTTATTTAGTCTGCCAAAAACATTTTGTCAAACATGTCAGTGGATCTTCTCAGTAGAGTTTAATCTTAACATATGGACTATTAAGCTGAGCTCACTATTCCAAAATAAATTTGACTAAAACTGGGTTTCGGAGTAGTGGCAATACGTATTGATTCCAAACGAAGCATATATCATGATGCATTGCATCGGTGAATCATGCTACTGCACTCTCAGCTCTTGAGCTCAGAGTCTGGCCGAAACACTGATTTGGAGATGAGTTTATGTCTACTTCTGCTACCAACATGATTAATCAAGATCAAGGTTCTCTAAGTTGTGCCTAGCAATATGAGAGAGTGCCTATTACTGCGGTCATTGTTTCATTTCCTCTACATCATCAAATGTACAATTACTGTTCATAGCGAACAATTCACCTGCCTAAATATAGCTTGTCCAACAAATTTTACATTGGCATGAAGATTTACAAATATGAATATTGAGTTTAGCTTCTTGGAATGCTTTGGGGGGCTTATGTGTCAGAATGATGCTGAGCAGATCTGGTTGTTGGGACAGTGAAGGACATCCCACTGATGCATTATCTGCTTCAGGCATCGGGTTAGTGTCCAGGGAAGAATGACATGTATCATATTTGATCCTGTAATTTGTTTGAGTGTTACCAGGATGTTTACATTGTTACAGAACCGACAGTTCCGACTGAGCAGCAGGGCTGTAACGGTATTAGGAGCATACCTAACGTAAGCAGGTGCTTGGGAATTTGTGAATTGGATCATCTTGTACGTGAAACTTGGAAACTCATTTGCACAGGGTTTGAAATTAACATAATTCCGCTTGTCAGAGACTGGTAAAT